TGAGAAAGCATAGTCACTAATTATTGCAGGGGAATGTGCGTATGCGCCTTCCAAAAATTGATACGGCTGCTGAATTTCACATCCTACCCCTCTCCCAGCAGGTTTCTCGGCACACATGCTTACATAAAAAAAAAAAACCAACAACTTCCTGAGCTGCATCTGAATGATGTAAGTGTTGGGTAGAGACAACTGATTATTTAAAACCAGAACAAGATTTAATTTAGCGATCCCTTTTTAAGGGCGCCAAGACTATGCTGCAGTTGTTGTGACCACCCCGAGCATGCAGGAAGACAGACAAGAAAGAGTAGCTGTGGCTTAATGAGGTCACAAAGTAATTCAAATATTGTTATTATTCATATGGTAATGATCATAATTTTTTTCCCCATTCTTTCTTTCCATCTGTCGAGGGAAGGATTTTCCGGTCTATGTAAGGCCTTTGTGAGGGCTGCCTTTGCCCTGGCTGGGTACAACCTCTTCGCCGCACCAGACGTTGGGAACCCCAACCCCATCCCATGTGCTCTTCCTCATCACCTTCCAGTCGCAAGCCATGCTCCCAGGTTGCAGAAGCTGGCATTGGTAGAGTTGTGCTGGCCTCAGTGTATTGTCAGTGCCACGTTTACGACGGTATTTTCAGAAACACTGGCTTTCTTTTAATTTTGAACATTTTGAGGAACATTAGACAAGATTTTATTTGTTGCAGAGCCCACACATTTGACAGACATGAAATGCGCCGACTTCAGGTGCTGGGATACCATTTCTTCCCCATCTTGCAATTCTTTTCCACTGACCTGCTAGTGGATGCGTTACGTATTTTTCTGCTCCTGTGAGACAATGTATTTTACATGAGCTTGACTGAAATGCACATGTTCAAAACATTTCTTATGTTTCAGTGCTCCCTACCCTTCTTTGTGTAATATAAACAAGGACTTACTTTTAGGAAGACCTTTTCATCTGGGTAGGTGGAGGCACTGAGCAAATCAGGTGTCTTACCTGTTTTCCCAATGCAGAAAGTACAACCAGCAAACTTTTGGTGCACCTCTTCATTTACCACATAAGATAAAGGAAGGAATTAAGACTTCTGAAGGGCAGCTACAATTTCTGATTATGGGGAGAGCCAGGGACATTCCAGGATTTGTGAATGTCTCACAAGTTACCATGCTACCCTCTCTTATAAAACAGAATTGGCTACGGATGGGATTGCACCCCCAATTAAACTTCATTACTCATTTACCACAGGCCTCAATGGAGGCAAGGTTTAACCTCCAAGAGCAAAGCTTGAATGCACCCGAAAACTTTTAACACTTTCAGAACACATAAATATCCCCCATATCCTGCACAGCCAGAGCACCTGCCTTGTCTTTTTTTTCCTCCTTTCTCACTTTTGCTACCACTTTCTTCTCCATCTTAATGCTGTATTTCTCCTTTTGATACCTAATTAAGTAACCTATCCCACCTCAGTAACCACCACAGTGGCAGTAGCATAATACAGTTACACCTTGGTCATTTGGGCCTTTCCTTTCTTAATAGACAGGATTGTTTCGTTCGTCTCATACATTTCTTTCATTCGATTACTGCTATTGCACCTCTCTCAGCTTATCGAAGTTACGAAGTTACCTGCTGAGTCTGGCGGGTGACCCCGTTCCCAGAGAAGTTCTGGTAACGTGGTACCATCTGCTGCTGCTGTCTATTGAGAGCAAGTCATCAACTTGAATCCACAGTCTCTGCGATTTAATCCAAAGCCCTACACCAGTGCCAAAAGTCAGATTTTAAGAAAGATTAAAATATGCAGCGAGATCTACGAGCAGTAGGACGTCACCCATCCCTTGGAAAGGCTTTAGCTCTGCCACATTTTCCAGTATACGTACTCAAAGCTATTTAAGTGCACGTGTGTGAACCACTTGTGCTGCGTGTGAAAATGGCCTGTGTGACTGCCTGAGAACCTGAGAAGTCATCTCAGGTCCCGGCCCTGCAAGAATAAAAACGGCATCCAGGGAACGAAGGGAAAAGCAGCCTGGCTGAAAATGAACACGTGTTCATGTACTGTTTGTACCGTACCGAAAAGAAGACGGAAACACCGAGCCTTCTTCGCCGAACTGTGGTCTTCTAACCTAAGGAATTTACAGAGCTGAATTCCCCCATGGGCTATGCACGCTCCCGCTCCCCCGGTCCATGTGTGTTGCCTACAACACATGCAGGACTTAGTACAGGTTTTCCTTGGTAATTCCTTCTTAAGAAAATGCACGAAGCCAGGCAAGACGGTTGCACAACGTGATTATCAAGGGGAAGCCGGCAGTCAGGGGGAGGCTCTCGTCAGTAATCTGAGTAAGAAACTGGGGGAAATCTATCTATAGCACCCAAATACGCTGCAATGAGCTGCAGAAAGCTGTATGAATACTTTTCCCCTCGAGGCTCTCTGGGCATTTAACTACTTTTTAAATACTTCTTTTTAACTAATAATGCTACTTTTAAACTACATTTTAAATACCTCAGCTCCTCTCTGAATTCTTGGGATTTTCGAAAAGAAGTTGACAGCACATTAAAAATAAACACTGCTTTATTTGCCAGAGTTACATCTTATTAAATGTACATATATAAGTTAGCTGAATGCAATGTTTAAAAAATTTATTCCAACATTAGTGTATCATATATATATATATATATATCAGCAATATACTTAGCAGACAAAAATGCCGCTCAGATTACACGACAGTACAAGGCAAAGCAAGCAGCACACACAGAACAGTAGGCAAGTCCCTCTATCGTCACTCCGTTCTGTTGTCTCAAACTGACAGTATTAGACAAGAAAGTAAAAGCATAATAACAAAACCTTCTAGAAAAAACAGGATAGTGTCTTATAGTAGCACTTGTATTTTGCAGTCATTTGCTTAGAACATACCACACTAAATAAGGTAAAAATACCAAATTTTAACTGGAAAAAAAATAAAAATCCCTGATTGTGTTACACTTGAAAGGCCAATTTTCTTTTGCTAACCAACTCTCATGAAACAGTAATTAGAGTAGTTCCAACACAGAACTGCCTTCACGTTGGTTAAAGGACACTTTTAGATACTTGTATTAAACAGATCAAAATCAAAATTCCAACAGGCAGAATAAGCGCATCCCCAAACGGACCAGTCCATTTTTCTTATTTCTGTCACTTCTCAAGAACTCTTCAGGAAATGTGTACGTATGTGAACCGTTATAATCCTAATCATACTGATAACCTTTCATCAAAATACTGCTTAATGACAAGTAAAGGCGAACTATTATGTAAAGAGGTGTCAGACATTTTGTTATGCGACATTAGCTCTTATGACAACACATTCTCTGTGCAACGGTTTCTATACACAAAGTAGTAATGCTATGAAGTGTAATGATGTATTTTTAATATATATACATTTCTTTTAAAATAAGCTGATGCCAGATTTTTTCCACTCTCTGTTGTATGATACAACACATGCAAAACATCTCTTTGTATAGCATTAAATAGGAAGTGACCTCAAAAAGCAAGTTTGAAAGCGGCAGGAAGTAGGGGTCAAACATCAGTTCAAATTCAGGGTCTGCAGGCGGGGCTTCTGCACGCCCACACTGTATCCCAAACCAAGGCATCTCCTTGTCTTCCTCCACCTTGCTTTCAGCCAGTGTTACTCATTCACAATGCACCCATTTTGCTGACATCTTTTCAAGTGTAGTATTTTAGGACGCTTTATTACCTGAGGAAACTAACGTTCCGTGCGCAGGAATAGTGCATCTAATGCTGAATTTTCAAATCTGTTCTCAGCTTCTGTCAGATTGTATGCTTTGCATAGAAATAACGTTTTGCATCTCATCACCTTACTGTCTGAAGCAATTGTTTGCATTGCTAACAGTAAGAAAACTGTGAAACCTAAATTTAGCAGTTTAGTTAACAGTATATGTGTAAGAAGCAGCAAAGTGCTTGCATTGTGTAAATTCTGGCGTCGCATACGTAACTGTGGTGGCTGATACTCTGGCTTATACATTAAGCAGCAGAGCTAATTGGTTTATACATGCATTCCTCCAATAATGCCATTGCTTCAAATGTATCTGAACATTCAAGAACATGGCCGGTTCGTCATGAACGTGAATTGCCAATATGCTTGATTTCTCAAGCAAACATATAGAACGAAGCTGAATAACTTACCGTAACGAGAAATGTACATCTGCTTCAACTCCTAGACTGGCAGCCAAACCACGTGACGTCTGTTCGAGGTAGGCACTTCAATGGTAACACTTCAGCTAATAACGAGGGCTCCACCCAAGACATTGATTTAAAACTCTGTTACAACATTAAGATTGCTAGCCAAGTACTCCAAGATGTAGGCTAGGTCTGCTAAAACAAAGTGCGGAAACCTTAAGTTGTGGATCTAGTAAACAGTACGCAATTTGGCTGATACGGAACACAAATCTCTAATTTTTTTGTGTATACTCACAAGGAAGTATAACTTTCAAAGTGCAAATACAGTAAAATTTCTCGTCTCTCTAGCTAGCGTACGTCAGCGTGAGAGAACTCAACAGTCTGGTGCTACTCGATCCAAGCAGTCCAGGTAGGAACTGCTCGCTGTGAACAGTTCGCACGGCACTAAACCAGAGGCGTGCCAAGGCCGGCACGGTTTGGCTAACGCCGTACAGCTACGTGTGCAGGTTCACAGTATCACGATGCCTGCAAGCACACTCTGGGAATACGCATTTCCCCATAGCGACCGTTTTCACATCTTTTGCCAAATGCAAATAAACAAGGCACTAAGGATGGAAGTGTTGATATGTTTTAAATATACAGCAAAATCATAAAAAATGCCTAACTGCTTCAAATTATAAAATGAGGGCACATTCATAAACAGCTGGTAGCTACGCTCCGTAAGTAGTTATTATATATTTATAAACTTGGCAACTTTGTAGAAAAGCCCCATGACAAAACAGAAAAAAATAATCCTTATTGAAGATTATAAAGAAAAAAAAACCCCCACAAACCAAACGCATGCTTAAGATCTTTTGAATACAAAACCATACACCAAGTACCCAGCTCGGTGAACGAGCGTGGCGGTCCAGCTCCCAATCCGCCGCACTGTGCAGTCGTACTCCAGAGCAGGCGTCGAGCAGGGACGCGCAGCTTTAGTCCTTCGCTGGCATCCACAGAGAATCCAAACAACGGGGCAGCTTTGGCCAAAACTAACGTCAAGCATGATCTTCCAATGGCAGTTTTTGAGGCTGAGAAATAAATTGGCTGTATTTCTCCAAATTGTATATATATCTTTTCAAAAAACAGTCATTAGATGATTCCGTAATATTTGCATTTAAAGAGCAAACTCTTTGGCAGACAATATCTTTAAGAAAATAAATGATGGGGCTTTTTCCTTCATTAGTATGTATTAACTGAATTCTGTGCCTATAAATAATTCCAAGTGGAATTAAGCCAATGTATCTTTAAAAATCCATTCCTTCTAACACGCGTATAGAAGTTCAAAGCTGCAAAAAAATGTTTCATAAGACATAGTGGATACAAAAAAAAGCCCCAAACCCTAACCCTTGCATCAGGAGTGTTCTCCTATTTAAATGATCATGTCATAAAAACAGTCATTCTCCACATTTGCCACCACAGGACTCCTCTGTGATATCCTTTTCATTCAGCTGGGATACAGCCTGGAACTTTGCATTTAGCAACAGGGGGAGGGCTTGGTGGTAATGACCTTATCATATCCTGTGAGCCCTTTGAGGGTAATATTCCCTACACCGGGAATCCAAATTCTAGGATTACAAGATTACACTTATTATTCAAAGTGACGGGTAAATACAAAACAGTGCCGAAGTCATACAGTTAAATAGATTGACTAAACCTAGAATGCTCAGTAAGACTTTTAAAGAAAAGTCTAAAATCTTTGGAGTGAAAGCGAAGGGTTGAAACTGTCCTAAGCTTTCAAGACGATGCATACTGAGCAAATCACAGATATAAAAAAGCTAAAATGAGCTAAATCCCAAGCAGTTGTTTTTTCAGCTACATCGCTCTGGATAACTCCATTCTCCCTTCCGTGGCGATGAACTCCTTTTCCGTGGCTCGTTTATCACCTTGACACAGTCTTTCCTTCAATTTTTCAAGTTCATATTCATGTAGGATTTTCTGTGTTAAATACTTTTCACGTTTTATTTTGGCTTTCACGTCTGCAGGGACATCAGGAATCATCCATGCTACAAAGAATTTGACGATGAATACAACATGCTGCCAAAAAAAAAAAGTAAAGGAAGCCAAGAGAAATGTAACAACTCATCACCAAATGAAACACCTATTGTTTTATCTAACACCAAATAGATCTCTTCCCTTTTTGTTCACAAACAAAATGCATTTCATTTGGCTGTCCTGGAACAATACTAATGTGTATCTGAGATGTGCACGAAGATTAAAACACTTCCTTTTATGCAGAAACTTTAATTCCAAATTCCCTTTTCCCTTCAGAACTTGCAAGACAGTGGCTTAAGTGCCAGTTATCCAAATGAGTGATTTAGCTATTTTCAGCCTTTCTTTTTCAGCCAATATACATCACTGCAAAATGCTTTCTGCATTTTGAATACAGTCATCTCGCATAGACCGCTTCAATGAAACCAGGAGGAGTAGAAGTGCTAGTCCTGGTGGTTCACGTCTCTCCCATCTGCATAAAGAACCTTTTTTTATCCTGCCATTTTATTCCGATCAAATCTAGCAGTCTCCTCAGCTGTTTTCACTGTACTTACTCTGAGGTTGACTTCCTGAAGTTGAAGACCTAGTTATAGTAACCATTTAGGACATGAGTATTTGGCAGGACTTAGGAAATAACTATTTTATACTCTCAACAATTCTACTTTCTGTAACATTAGTAACTACCTAGAGAATCTGTAAGGTACTGATTTCGGACGGCAATCTTGTAGGGAACATACCTCCATAATAATTATAAAGGCCAGTTTTGCAGCAAGAATGTGCCAGAACTGCATAGTGTGTACGTATCTCCGCTCATGATCTGGAGGATATCGATAGTCTCTGTACCTGTTGGATTGAAAGACATGCAAAGGTGAAATGTCACAGTCAGTCTGAGACAGACTACAAGCTCAGTGGCACTTACAGGCAACTACAGCTGTCACTTTAGGAACCTTTTCATCTTGTTTTTAAATGGTCTGTTTCCTTTTGCAGAAAAAGGTTGCCTCTCTATTTGTTTCTATCTTACGTTTGCTTAAACACCCTCCTATTCACAGCAACAGACCAGAGGTGAGGATGTGTGAGAAGTGAAATTTTGTACATAGGTTACTTTTTTTGAGGGCAACGGTCAGTAATACAGGACAGAGTGATGGAATGCATCGCAGAGTAACGGACAAGTATTGAAAAAACGCGACAGATGTTGACAGATTACGGACTGGGCAGATAGAGGGTTTAATGGAAAGACAGTCTTGAGTTCCACACTCACATGCGTAAGTAGGAAAAAGACTCCTGGGGCTTTAACACTAAAACACCATACAAATGTAGCTGCTGCTTAAAATGTTGGGCGCTTTACTGTTTGGCTTGTTTGGTTTGGGTTTGCTTGCATCAGGTCAATACTTTTCTTTTACTGTGGTCTTCTCCAAAGCTCTTTCTTAATTCTTCTAGAACCTCCAATGCTTCTTCTAGTGAGAAAGGACTTTTTTTTAAAATGAAAACAGGATGGCCCAGATCCTGAGTGATATCTAGCACAGTAACTATTGCCAACTTTGGATTCTAAACCGCCCCTTACTGATATTTCCTTGTCCACTTAGGCACTGCAGCCTAAAAACTTTTGAAAATACAGGCTAAAGTTGCAACCTTAGGGACATAAATCTCCTCCATCACTCAAAAATTGTTTAATTAAGTAGAAAAAGCAAAAAAAAACCAAAAAAAGTTATCAATGAGACGCTATTAAACAACAAAAAGGTGATTTTTTTTTTTTTCATTATTGGTGTGATCTCTGACTATCTCAAGCATTGCTTTGTTAATAGCTTAAATATTACCTCTCACACTTTGGAGCGATGAGAATGATTTCATTTAATTTCTAGTGGACTATTCAGATCTGCATTGACTTTTTATGCTGTATTCTAAACAAAGTGATAAAATATTTATCATTACACCAACCTGCATATGACAAAGTTTTCTGGGTTCAGTTTAGGCCTGTTTCTGTCAGGAAAATCTGAGATTTGAAACACTGACAAACTATTGTTTATGTATCCAGACATAGGAGAGTCTTCACTTTCAGAATAAGCATAGTAGTAAACTAAACGAGGAATCATATCCGATGTGAATGCAACAATAAAAGCCTGCAAAAGAAATTGGAGAAAAGAAATTAAGGAAGTAGCACACAAAACTTGTGAGCAGATTCAGAAAGGGGGTTTGGTGCTGGGCCTCTGTGGCATAACCCAGGATCTTTTAATCAAGGGTGAGCACAATCAGGGCACTTTGCCTTGGTAAAGATGCTGGCTGCAGCCTCTGCTGCAAGGATCAGCACTCAGTGAACAAAATATGTGAACGGTCCTTACAAGAGGCACCAAATCCCCAATATCCCCTCACACCAAAACATCTTCTATCCATGATAACAGCACTCCTTAGTGAAAGAGGAAACGTGGTTTTGAATTCTTGTGAGAAAGGATGAACTCCAATCCAGTGTGTGATCACTTCATGAAAGAAGGGGAGCCATTTTCTCCAGCTGGATTTAAAAGGAAACAATGGCTACCAGCACATTTTGCCAAGAAACCTGAGATACTCAAGATGCTCAGGTACCTGGCTAACTAGGCAATACCTGCAAGTGGGTTGTGCCTTAAGACACTTGCAGATCTGATACTGTTTATTTTTCTACACTAAAAAGAGACAACTCTCTGGCTCAGCAGCCTGTTTCACTGTATACTTAAGACGAAATACTAGCATAGCATTTAGTTTCCAGTTTATAAGAAGTACTCTGAGCTGTTGACCCCACAGGGGCATCCAGAAGCAGCTGAACGAGCAGAATTCCCATAGGATAGGCCTCATAATGACAAGACAGAAATGTCATCTGGCCGACAGAATTAATCCACCTCTCCTGTCCCCTGCGGTCCCCTCTGGGCAATCAGTGTGCTTCATTGGACTAAGCTTCAGACTGGTTTATGCCATTCCAAAACACTGGAAAAGGCAGACAAGTGAATGAAAGATTATGGTCCAATGAAATGGGGTTTGGGAGCTGCATGTTGTCAATGTATGGACAAGCCGAACCACCCAAATGGTTTGATCGACTCTCTGTG